AGCCTCACCATCTCCAGTTGCACCTCTAATCTCTGTACCCCGAGCTCGGCCTGTCTCTGTCACTTGGAACTGAGAGGCTGTATTGCCCCAAACGTGACAATCGATGAATAATATCTGGCACATCAAGATAGGCAAATGTGATCCCACATTAGCAAACTGAGCACCCAGTTCCCAACCAGAGCCATACAACTAAATTTCTAGGCGTAACCACCTAGCACCTTAAAAATGTCCTCAGATGCCAGACTCTGTCCAGCAACCTATACAATTGAACCCCATTATTTTACCCAAAATCAATCTAAGACCTCCATGTTAGTTGGCTTTTCATTAAGACACACTACCAGATACCCACAATTTATTTATTTATTTATTCATTGGTACCAGGGATCAAACCCACAATTTAAAGTAGGAAAGGTTTAACTTGGTTCATGTGCTCAAGAGAGTTAGTCCATGGTCAGCTCACTCCAAGGCAGAAAAATCATGTGTGAATGGCCTGATATATAAAAGATGCTTAGTTTATGGCAGGCAGGAAGCAGAGTTGGGGAATAGTACCAGAGAAGAAGGGGACAGAGACCTTATATGGTACCCAAGGTTCACCCAGACTTCATGATCCAGCCTCACCCAGACTTGTGTTCTTACTAAATCCTTAGGCAGCTCCCACTTGAATCATGTCAACGTTTGGGCTTAACCATGACTTCCCCAAAAGCAGATAACCAGCCCCTGTCCTCCATCATTCAAAATATACCCAGGGACCCTTCCTGAGTCAGTCAACCCCAACAGTCCTTGGTAACTTAGATTCATCCCGTAAAACTGAGTAACAAACTCTCAATTTTTGTCACTAAAGACTCACCTTGGGACCTGGCTCTGTCATAATGAACTGGTCAGTGAAGCACCTAGTCTCTACCCCAAGCTAGATAAGTGAACTCCCAAACTAGAAACCCAGACCTCTGTAATTTACTATCTGCAGCCACTTGGCCAGGCCCCAGCAAATCTGCTGTCCAAGCAGACAATCAGAGCTATAGCTTCTGAATCCTTATATCATTCAACTTATTTATTTCTCAAGCTTTCTCATCCTAAACCATGTCCCTAAACCCAGGGTCCTTACTCCAAACTAGATAATAGTTTTTTGGTCTCTACAATCCCAAACTTGGCCCTTGGCCTTGGGGTCCCTACCACTCCAAATGAGATAAGCAGAGAATAAGTCTCAGGTAGCTCTATGCAGTTCAGAAGACCCCAATTTCTGCTGCTCTAAACTAATCACTGAGCCCTCAATATGGTCCGCAAACTGTACTTTTCAGTTTCTTAACCTAGCTGTCACTCCAAAAGAAGCTAGACCACATTTTCCCCATGATGGTACCAGGACTCCCAATCTGATCATCCAAAACTAGGCAATTATACTCCAACCTGCCACCTTGTATTAGTCTCTGTCCCATCTCAGGGGCAAAATATGTGACACCCATAACTTAGAAGGGGGGTCTATTTTGGCTCATGGTTTCAAATAGTTCAGTCTGTTGACTGGCCCCAAGGCAGAACTAGCATGGTGGTTAGGCGTGGCAAAGACAGCTGCTTACCTCCTGGCAGCCAGAAGCAGACAAAGATCAGGGAAGAGCAAAGGATTACCCTTCCAGACCAGTCTGCAGTGACTTATCCCTACAATCAGGCCCTACCTCTTAACAGTACAGAAACTCATCAAAAAATTAATACACTGATAAGTATAGTATTCCCATGATCTAATTGCCTTCCAAAAGCTCTACTCCTGAACATGTGAGACTTTGGGGGAGCATCTTAATCTGAACCATAACACACCCTAATGTAGATCTTGACATCCCAGCCCACACAGGAACTCAAGTCTCTGACACCTCAGACAACTATGGTTCATGTCACTTCCAATAGATAAAGATCCCTAATCTGTCACTTAAAACGCAAGAGCTGACCCCACTGTGTCTTTAACCTCAAACTATGTTAGCAGGCATTCCCCAAACTAAGCTATGAGATCCTCTAAGGTGCTATAGCTTCACGCTAGGCAAAGGAACTTCTTCCTTAGGCTCTGTTGTCCTAAATTATATAACAGGACCCTCAGGCTCTGTCTCCACCAGCGACAACTTTAGCTACTGCAGCTCCACACTAGACAACATCACATTTCTCTCCTGCCTCAAGCCAACAACCACACCCACTGGGTCATTCTCAGCCAAGGGGACACCCTACCTTGTCACCCCAAAACTAGAGCCTGGACTAGTGCCTCACCACTCAAGATTTGCCACCCAGAACTCAGACCTCAGGAATCCTCTGTGTCATCTCGAATTTGATAATAGATCGAATTCTATGACCCCAAACTGGAAGCCAATGTGGTCAGCCCAAACAAGCCAACCAGATTCCTGATCTGAACTCCAGGCGTTCTCCACAAAATAGACAACCAGACCTTTAGCTTTTGTCCCCTAGATGAGAGAACGAGCCCTCCTGTTTGTTATCTTAAACCAGATATTTTAATCCCAAGGTCATTTGGAGGAGGCAGGTGGGGAAAGTCCTCACCAACCCCAAAAGAAACTTTTTTTTGGTACCAGTGATTGAACTCATGACCTTGTGCTTGCCAGGCAGGCACTTATGCCACTGAGCTAAATCCCTGGCCCCTAACAGAAACTTCTAGTTTCTCGGCATCTTAGTGAATCAACACCAGAATCAAGGACCTACAACGTTACCCCCGATTTGGCTTTTGGTCTGAGTCTCAATATCCCCCTCAGCCCAGCCTGCTGACCTGATGCTCCAGTGATCTGTCTCAAGTGTGTGGCCTTGGACATCTCCAAACAAGAGAACTGACCCATATGCAGACTGTGATGGGCATGGAGACTCAGTTTCCCCAGGGAACATTGGCATTGAAACACCAGACAACACACCCTATGATACCCAAAATTGGCTTGGGGACTCTGGCCTTTGAGTAAACCCAGGTGATCTGACTGGACCTCAGGCCCCCTAGGTTCCCAGCCTGCTGAGGTCTCCCAGGTTGTCAGTTCCTGGTTCCCTCCCTGCATCAAATCCAGAGGAAGCTCTTGTCTGCCCTCTGGTGGCTCATGCTGGAAGTGAACCTTCAGTGGTAGTTTCAGTCCTACTTGGACCAAGACAGCCAGGCTTCCTGGTCTTTCCATGATGCCCAAGGCCTGAAACCCGGGGTCATCCTTGCCTGTTACTCCCCACTCAGCTCCCACACATGTCAGTAGCCAAACTCTGTCCCTCCTTTTCCAGAATCTGTCTTCTTGTCATTCCTCTCCACCCCACATCCCTACCCTCCCCAGGTTGGACTATGCCTGATCTCACACGCAACCCCAGAGGGACATTTCTAATACCCCTGCCTGACTCTGTCTCTTCCTTATACCAAACTCTTCTGCCGTCCCACATTACCTTAAGCTAAAATCCAGAGAGCATGGTCAGGCCGCAGGTCTTGTGCCATCTGGCTGCCGGTATCGTCCCCAGCATCATATCCTAAGGCTGCTCTATTCACTGCAGTCACAGGGACAATGACGCTATTGAGCGGATCCGACCTTGGGGCCTTTGCACTGGATGTCCCCTTTGACCAGAATCCTCTCATCCTAGACTTCCAAGGGGCCAAGCTGCAACTCATTCTCCAGCAGGCCCTGCCTTCCCTCCAACTGCTTCCCAGTCTCACCGACCCAGGCGCGCTCCGATTGGCTTCAGGGGTACTCCTGAGGGCTTCTTGCTGATAGCTTGGATTGCTTGTGTATCCAAGGTTCCCTCACAAAGGTGAGCTCCAGGAGGGCAGGCGCTCCTGTTTATAGCACTGCTGCCTGTGCAGCATCTGTGCCCACACAGCATAGAAACAGAGCCCAAACCATGGTGTACCTCTCTCCTCTCTCCCCCTGGAGTAACCTAGGGCCTTTGCATTGAGCTACATTCCAGCGCTTTTTAGTTTTTATTTTGCTATTTTTTTTAATTTTTAGTTTGGTACTGGGAATCAAACTCAGGACCTTGCGCTTGCCAGGCAGGTGCTTGTGCCACTGAGCTACATCCCCAGCCCTTAATTTTTATTTTGATACAGAACCTAACTCACTTTATGTGCCCAGGCTGGAATTAAGCTTTCAGACTTCCTGCCTCAGCCTCCCAGAGTGCTGGGACTGCAGGCATGTGCCACCATGCCTGGCAAGAACAGCATTTAACACAGCAGACTGAGGTCACTGGCCTTGGACAGGCCTATGTACGCAGTTGGTTTCCTGGCTGGTGCCGGGGATCTCAGATCCAGGAGGCCCTTCTTTCCCAGTAAGTGTGGCTCATTGTGTCTAGACTGCTTGTGCAAACAATGCTGCGAGTCTAGAAATTTGGTTCACAGATGCACCAGTAACAACCCCAGGTACTGAGACTTAATGTTTTACATGTGTTGTCACAATGCATTGCTAAAGGGAGAAGCTTGTCCTGTCCATGCAACCATGCTGGAAGAAAGCTGAGCCTGCTGTGCTCTTACATTGGCCCCCAATATGTCTCCTCTTGATTCTTTGTGTCCTTGCATGATAATCACAATTTAGGGGTTGGGGATTTAGCTCAGTGTACCACAAAAAAAAAAAAAAAAAAAAAAGATAAAAATATGATAATCACAATCTCAGGATAACTGTGCACTACACCCTAAGTTTTCAGCATATCACTGAACCTCAAATCTCTTTTTTTTTAGATGGAGTCTCACTGGTTTCGACTAGGCTGTTTTGACCTACTGATCCTCCCGCCTCAGCCTCCTGAATACTGAGATTACAGATATATGCTACAATGCCCACGTTCCCTTCTCAACTCCTCTCCTCCTTAGTACCTGACCTCTTATAATATTTCGCTTACAGGGCTGGGGGGTTAGCTCAGTGGCGTAAGTGCCTGCTTGGCAAGCACAAGTTCATGAGTTTAATTCCTGGTACTAGGAAAAAAAATTTTCACTTCTATAGCTTGCTGTTTTCCCCACACCTAGAGCATCCCTGGCACGCCCCTGAAGAGGCCCACAAAGACACAGGGAGATATTTACTGAATGGCAACTGTAACGGCTTTATTTCTAAAGGTGGAGCTCCTCTTTGGACTTGTGAGGAGACGGGTGCTTCTGGCCCGAGCAGCACGGAGGTGCAGGACAGGGGTGGACAGGGATTGGTGACTGGCCCAGGAGACCAACAGGTTGCTGCAGATACCTCACACAGGCTCCATCTGCAGCTCCTCCCCTTCTGCGGCCTCGATCTGGTGGAAGGCAGCGTGGGAGCCAATGACCACCAGAGTGGCACCTGCAGAACAAGCAGTTTAGAGCCGCGCCTCCTCACCTGGCCTCCCCCACCACCCCCTCACCTGGCCTCCCCCACCACGACCCTGTACTCACCCAGGACCCAGAAGACAGCTGAGCCTGCACCAGCCAGCCAGAAGAACGGGAAGGAGATCCCTCCAGCCAGAGCATACTGATGGGCCGGGCTCACCTCTCGGCCTGAGGGCAAACAGCACTGGCTGGCTGTTCTATCCCTGACCCTCGGTACCCTCTCTCGGAGTGACCCCTGCTGCCTCCTCACAATCTGGGGTCACAATCTCTGGAAGCTTCAGGGTTGGACCCAGACTCCCCAGCCCCATCCTGTTTCCCCAATGTCCCCTGTACCACAGAATACAAGCCTTCCTGAGGCCCTGCTCCTCTCCCTCAGCCCAATTTGCTCTATAAAGTCCCAGCCTCCAGCTCCCTAGCCCTCCCTAGCCCACCTGTATTCAAACTGGTGGCCTCGGGCCCAAGTCTGATTTGAGGATATGTTCTTGGAGAGGTTTCACAAGAATCTGGTTTGTGGCCAGCACTGAGTGATCTCCCATAACAATGCAGCTTTCTGGCCTCTCACATAAGACTGGAAAGGGCAGTCCCATGCTCCATAACCGTAAGTGGTGGCTGTGATTCAAGGGCTCCTTTCATACCCTGCCATGCACCCCATCTTTTGCATGAACATATCTTGAAGCCCCTTTGAGGACTTTTTCTTAGGTCTGTCTGATTTATTCCAAATCCCTGTTCCTATACAAATCTTGGACTTTTCCTGGGTGGAATTTCCCCTGGCGTCTTTTTTCCCCCATACATCTCGTTAGCATGCTGGAGCCCTATGAGTCAGAGGCCTCAATTTCCCTCTAAGATCTTCCTGGTCTCATCCCAGGGAAGGAGGACAGACCTTGGCCTGCATAAGGCCGCCACCTGGTGTCCAACATGAGCAGTTGCCGCGGGTGCTTCCCGCAGAAGTCAGGGAGTGGGTGGGTCCTGGGGCGTCTCATTCTGAGTTTGGGGAGCTGACACTGGATGTGAGGATCATATGTGTCTGAGATTTTTAAAAAAATTTTTTTAAAGGCTAGTCAAATGAAGCAGTGGGAGTGGAGAAGGAACAAAGAAATCTGTAACTGGTTGTGATCAATTAGTTGTAAACACCACTGCACTCGGACCAGCCTTGTGTCTGAGATTTTACAGACCAGAGTAGATGATCTAGCCGACTTGGGTCCCAAGGACTTTGGTTTGGGGTCTGAGATTTTCATCCCAAGAAAACTAGGAATCCATCTGGGCAGGGCTTTCTCTCACCAAAGAGCACAAGCTTGGATTGCAGTGTGCGCAGATAGAGAATGTAACAGGCGCCGAAGAAGACAGCCAGAGCGACTAGCAGCATGGGAGATGTCACCCTGGAGAAAGAGGACAGGGAGAAGTCAGGCATGTGGGTTTGGGCCAGCAGGGGGCCCTGGCCTTGTAAACTGGTGGGTGGAGGCCCGGGAAGGCTGAGTTACAATAGTGGGGGAGTAGAAACCTGACTCTAGTGACAAAATAGCAGAGGTAGGCCACGGAGGCCGGGCCCGGGTGGGGTGGGTCCATCTGACCCGAGGGCGCGGCATGGGGCAGGGCCGGGCACTCACACGCAGTACAGGATGAGGCCCAGGAACACGAACACATAGTTGCTCTGGTAGTATTCCACGTTTCGTACCAGGCGCTGGCACAATTCGCCCAGGTTGCGGGGTCGTGAGAAGCGCTGCTGGTCCACAAAGGCTCCCCAGGGCCGGATGGTCGCCCGTCGCCGCTCCAGCCACTCCCGGCCTACGCCAGAGGGAATCAGCTTCGGCAGCAGGGTCCTGGCAAGAAAGCAGGGGGTGGGGACGTGGGGGTGGGGACAGCGGCAGATCAGGATGGGGCACAGACCTGGGGGTAACGGGGGAGCGGGGGCCGGACTCTGGGGCCCAGGAGGGCAAGTCCCAGGAAACCTGGGTACCAAAGAAGAGAGGGCAGGGGACCCAACTTTAGGGTCCCTGAACAGGAGAAGGGGTACTAGACTTCTGGTTGGGGGCTAGGACCGCCAGGATTCGAGCAAGAGGGGGATCGGACTCCCGCATCTGGGGTCAGGGTGACTGGAGCTGGGTAGCTCACGTGGCGCTCAGCCCTTCCGCTTCGGCATCATTCTGCTGGTCCTTCTGGGCTGCCATGTCTGCTCTGTGAGGGGTACGCCTGCCGTATCCAGCCGGAAGTCCTGCAGACCCCGCCGGCTCCGTCGGAGCCTGGCTCCACCCGGCGGAGCCGACGTGGAGCAGCTCCCGAGCCGCAGGGGGCGGTAGTTGCGCCGTCGAGCATTGTGGGAGTTGTAGTTCAGACATCGGCAGGCAGGGTGCGCGCCACTGTGGTCTGACTCGCAAAGTACCTAGGGAAATGTAGTCCCTGAAAGCGGCGAGCCCCCGCTCGGCATTGTGGGATTTGTAGTTTCAAATGTGGAGTTGGGCTGGTGAATGACAGAAGCGAATGTTGGGTGTTGTGTACTCTCTTGGGGGATAGTGTGGCCCCGGTGCAGAGCTATTTTCCTGACTCTACAGAGCATCTAGAGAACTTGATAAAACAATGTTCTTGGGTCCAATACCAGATGTTCTGACTCAGTGGGTCTGGAGTGAGCCTATCAGTTGCATTTTTAATAACTTCCCAGGCAATGCTGCTCTTGCCGGCCTGTGAACTACATTTTTTTAGTATCAAAATTGTAGACAATCTGTGGAAATCAATTCCTTCCTTAAGAGGCTGGGACTGGGGAGGGGACTGTGGTTGCTGGAGAGAAGCTGTCCCATCCTTGGACTCTTAGGGATAAATGGGTTAGTATTAAGGATGTCCTTGCACCACCCCACACCTCTGGATAGGAGGGAGGCAGTGGAAAAAGAATGGGTCAAGGATTCTTCAAAGAGGGAATTATTATGTGGTATATATACACACTTGTGTACTCTTCAGCCATAGAGGATATATTTGTGGGACTATGAATGCACCTTGAGTCCAAAATCCAGGAAAAAAAAATGGGACACAGAAAATTAAATATCACACAGTTTCTCTCATAGGAGAACCCAAAGTGTAAATAACTTACAAGCAAAATTCTAAAAGAAAGATGATGGGGGGGGGCTGGGGATTTAGCTCAGCGACATAAGCACCTGCCTTGCAAGCAGGTGGTCGTGAGTTCGATCCCCGGTACCGATAAAAAGAAGAAGAAAAAAAAAAAGAAAGATGATGGGAAACCAGAAGATAAAATTTGTGGAGACAGGAGGGGGATCTGTGGGTGGGAAGAGACAGGATGGGCAGAGGAATAAAAAAGATCAAGGTGCAACATGTGTATGTACCAACCCTGCATAATGAATATATTTATTATGTACTGCAAACAGACACTAATACATTTTTTTTTAAAGAAGAGAGATTACTATCCCAAAAGAGCTGAAATTTTGGAGTTGGACACAGGAGAAAACCTGGGGGGGTGGCTTTGATCTTGTCACCTCTCTGAACCTCAGTGTCTGCATCTGGATGTAATAATGAGGTTGCTTCAGTTAAATGCTGCATTTAAAGTGCTTGAAAGAGCCTTGACATTGTTTCTTGGTTTTGTTACCAGAAATTGAACTCAGGACCTTGTGCTTGCCAGGCAGGCGCTATGCCACTGAGCTACATCCCCAGCCCACCACCAGTACATTATGAATATTCTGGTTATTTCCACAGTTCAGTCTCCTCAAACTTAACAGTAACATGTTAGGAGCTTGGATGTCCCAAAGAGTAGCTGTTTCTGAGGACTGGGCCACTCTTTCTCCAGGTCCCACAGGCATGGGTCTGTCTTTAATCAAATTTCTCCATGGCCTGCTCCAGCCCAGGTGAACAATTAGAAATCAAAGGCAGAGCTCTTAAGGTCCCTAGGCGGGCCATAGGTGGTCCCTCAAGAAATATGCCTGGGAATGTCAGAAAAACTGAGCATCCAGGGGGATGAGATCCTGATTCTCTAAAGCTGGGTGAGGCAGTAGAGGAATATCCAAGTGAGGTCTTTCTTTCAGACAGGATCTTGCTATATACATAAGGCTGTGTAGCCCAGGCTGGCCTCAAATAAGGCAATCTTCCTGCCTCAGCCTCCCATGTGTTGGAATTACAGGCAAGCACCACCATACCCAGCCCAAGTGACTCAACCTCAACTCTTGCCTTCTAAGGTCTACACCACTTAGAGTTTGTGTTTTGGGGCCTGGTAAGAGATATTTCTTCAGGAGTGGAAGAATCCCCTGACACGTGCTGGTGGGCACTTGGGTGTGCCACTGGGTGGGTCCCAAACTGATCAAATAGCCAACCTTTGAAGACCAGTTTAGCTGGTTTCTGTTTATTTCCCTTTTGTCACCCCAGGCTGTTAGTGTACTTAGCTCAGGTTTTCCAACCTGGGCCCAGTCTTGTTTCAGAAGTCAAGAGGACCAGGAATGTACAATCATCCGGGAGCATTACCAGAGGAGCAGTGCCAGAGTTCAAAGTGATGAGGATGCAGAGATAACTATCAGAGAACCCCCAGGACAAGGAATCCCGGGAACTAGGCTAGTGGCAGAGGTCCAGCTGCATCTTCCCATGCTAGCAAGGAGAGTCCTGTTTTGCCTGTGTTTATAGGAGCTGCGCGTTTCCTCAAGAGAAGCACGTGAAAGTCCTTTTGTTCCACAGCTGGCTTCTAGCAGAGGACATGCAAAGGACTAGAGGTGCCACAGCACATCCATGGCAAGACACAAGTCTGCAGAGGAGGGGGTGGTGGGGCCCAGAGGCAGGGACGCTGGACATGTGTTTTCTGAGTGAGAGTGTGGAAGGAACTCTGGGAGTTAAGGTCTTGGCACAGGGGCAAGAGGGGAAGGAGCCCTTTGAAGCAGGAATAGTGGAAGAGAGGGCCCAAGACTGAGACAGTGTGCAGGAGGAGGGTGATGCATCCCTGGGACAGGGGCCCATGGCAGATGGGCCCTGAGTTAGAGAGTGCTGGAGGATTATGGGAGACAGGCACTGGCTCTGAAGCCTCGTTCCTGCCTCTTGAATTCCAGAAGAAGGGGAGCTAGGAGGGCAGGAAGATGTTAGCACAGACAACCAGGAACCTGAGTGATAGTCCCTGCTATGTGACCACAAGAAATCCCTCCCCTCTCTGGACCTCATCAGCCCCTCCTTGCATTAGATGAGCAAAGCAGTGTGTTCCAGTCATGCAGCTCCTCCTGTGACCACCAGGGGTCGCAGCACACAGGGCCTCCCACTGCCTCCGGGCTCAGCTCCGGAGCTGCTCTCCTGGCCGCTGCCTGCCTGCCTGTGGCAGGTGCCTGCGTACGCCATACACTCAGCAGCCGCCAGAGTCCCGGCCCCAGACACCTGCACCGGGAGGCAGCAGCTTATCTGGCCCAGTTCCTCCTTTCACTTGAAGCTCTGGGCTGTAGGGGAAAGGCAGCTTCGAGGGAAATGGTTTAGTTGTCCAATGTGACTACCCACGTGACTACCACGAAAAGGACAGAGGATGCTGACTGGTCACAGGGACAGTACTGAGCCGCCAACTGGGGACTTTCATATATTGCAGGATGCAGACGGACACGGTGCCTTAGAAAGGGTCTGGCAGGTCCCACTAAAGCTGGACACAGCCTGTGACCCAGCATTTCCTCTCCTGGGCAGGTCTGTACCCAACAGAGATGGGTGCATGGTGTCACCGGGAGACAGGACTGAGCCAGGCATGGTGTGCGCACCTGTGATTCCAGCACTCCAGGAGTCTGAGGCACCAAGACTCAAAATTCTAAACCGGCCTGGGTGACTTAGTGACCATGGGACACTGTCTCCGTCCAAAATATGGACAAATTAAAGAGCAAAGTAATGAAATAATAGGAAGCAGGGAGGTAGGCCTTTTGTAAAAGGGAAGGGCGCCAACAGAGGCAGGGAGGGGAGGGGATGAAAGAATTGCAATGTGCCATGTATGTGCACCAACTCCTGTGATAAGCCAGATCATTATGTATTGTGGACTTTACAAACAAGAGCTAGAGTATATAGCTCAGCGTGAAGGCCCTGGATTCAATCCCACGATCATAAGTAAAAGGAAAAAAATGACTGGAATATTCCTATTCCTCATTAGAGTAGCCTCCAACCTGCAAAAAGCCCCAGCATCTGTGAGAGGATAATGGGTAAACTGTGTTGTCACACAATGGAACACCACACAGGGGTGAAGAGACAGGCTACTGATGTGTATAACGACATGGGGACGCCCACAGTGTGTTGTGGGGAGCATGGAGTCACACACACAAGCCTGTGGACTGTAAAATTCTACATAGCTGGATATGGTGGGGCATGCCTGTAATCCCACCACTCCGGGGGCTGAGGCAAGAGGGTCAGCTTGACTTCGAGGCCAGCCTGGGTACATAATCGAGGTTAAGGCCAGCCTGAACTACATAGGAGACTCTATCTCAAACCACACCCCCCAAAAAGATTCTGTTTTCATGAAGCTCAAGAACAAAGTGATATGGTACCAGAATCAGATCAGTGGTTGCCACTGGGGGCTACACAATGGCACTTTCTGGGTGGATGGAAATGTTGTGCCTGATGTCATAGAGGTGATTACATGAATGTAATTTTAAAACCACAGAGTTTTATTCTTGCGATGTATGTGCTTTGAGGCAGGCATGGTGGTACACACCTATAATCCCAGAGGGAGGCTGAGGCAGGAGAATTGAAAGTTTGAGTCCAGCATGGCCATTAAGTAATTTAGCAAAAACAACAACAAAAACAGACAATAAAAAGTGCTGGAGATGTAGCTTACTTAGTATGAAGGCCCTGAGTTCAATCCCCAGTATTAAAAAAAACTCCCTAAAACCCAAAGATGTGTATGGTTTGCTGCTGAAAGCTGACTTTAGTAAAACAAAAGAAACTGGCATAGGGATCCCTGATGGGTCACTCTTAGCTCCTGTGTGGCCATGAACAAGTCATCCCCCTCTCTGTGCCTCAGGTCTCCTGGGGATTAAATGAGCTACGATGTGCAGAGTACTTAGCAGGGGCATCGGCGGTCACTGCCATCATCATCTCCACATTGTGGCCCCCCAGGGTCCTCCGCCCACAGGAGGGGATCTCCCCCCACCCCAAGTGTCATTCACTTCCTCTCTGATCTTGTTCCGTATTCCCACTCCCCGAAAGTTCGCTGCCTCACTTCTGTGGAGGCTAAAACTCCATGATTCAGTGACTGCAAGTGTCTTTGGCTCCTAAGCTGATGCCAGGCGTGAGTCACCTGGGAGTGGTGCCAGCCAAAGGGACACATCCTGCCCATGGCCCAGCCAGAAAGCAGC